TTTGAACACAGACAACTCCACAGGGAAAACATGCAGACTGGTTTGAATCAGCTGCTGACTGGAAAACCTGTTGGAAGAACCTGGGCTGTACAAGTCTTCTGGAATTTATTTGAAAATCTCCTGGAGGAGAGAGTAAAACCCAGGACAGGTAGAGGAGTGGCTGTCAACCTTGGTTCATATCAAAACCACTTGGTGCCAGGCACCAGTGGCTCATACCACTGGAGGCTGAGATCTGAGGACCACAGTTCAAAGCCAGCCCAGGCAGGAAAGGCCATAACACTCATCTCCAATTAACCACCAGAAGAGTGGAAGTGGTGTGCCACGCCGACTCCAGTGGAGTCTGCTTAGCATGGGAAACCATCTATCAGACCTAAGAAAGGGGCTTCAGAGACCTATCTCTGAGTTTTGGGACTTCACCGAAGTCTACCTCAGAGAATGGGGCTTTACAGAAACCTATCTCCAAGTTTTGGGACTTCACCGAAGTCTACCTCGGAGAATAGGGCTTCTAAGAGGCCTACTCCTGGAAAGGCTGACAAACCCCTGGGAAAGATGTGTTTCTGCCTTTCTTTTCCTCACTGTATAAGAGTGCCTATTAATCTTTTACTGTTTCTGCTGTTCATTGTACTTACTCATTGTCAACGTTCCCTTATTCAAAGTTCTTTCTTAAGAGTGTTGACGACTCCAATATCTGATGAGTGTCTTAAAAATATGACTAACTCACCAGAGTTAAATGCTACCCTGGAAGCCCCTCTTATGGAGGCTAGTAGACAAGTTATAAGTAAATATAAAAGTATTGGGGGTTTCACAAAGTCACTTCAGCAGAAGGAATTGTTTGTAAGAGATATTTGCAAGAAGCTGTAGGTGCGGCTAGAACAGAAAGAATGTATGGCAATTGCTGAGATAACTACTTAGGAGAAAGAACTTCCTGTTACTCTCTTTCATTTACTAAGAGACTTGCTAGATCTAGGCCTCCGTGACCTTACTATTAAAGAAGGAACAGGAAAGATCTTACGGGACAGTTAAGGCCTCTATAGAAATAAGGTAATGGTTAGATGGTGACAAACATCGAAACCCATTATATTTCTTAGAGATAAGCCGGAAACAAGTGCCTTTCAGGCGACCAGCTGGTGACCACCCAAGAATGAAGCCCTGTAGCAAGATTGTGTAACCTTTTGCCCTTTCTTATGGAGACTTTTTGCTATAAAAGTTTGTTATCCTCTGCATTAAATCGCACTCAGCACTCAGCATCCACTCCTAATGTGTGTGAGTTGTCTGTTTGCCATCTCCCCATCCTATTCCAGGTTCCTCCCCTAGGTATCCTCCGTCGTCCCGACAGAACCCGGTCCGCGGCAGTGGTGCTTGGCTCAAGTGGTAGGGCGCTAGCCTTGAGCTGAAGAACTCAGGGACAGCGCCCAGGCCCAGAGTTCAAGACCTACAACTGACCAAAAAGCCAACAAACTTGGTGTGGAGTGTCAGTGGCTCACGCCTGTAATCTTAGCTACTCAGGAAGCTGAGATCTGAGGATCAAGGTACCAAGTCAGCCAAGTCAGGAAAGTGTGAGACTGTGATTTCTAATGAACTACCAAAAAGACAGAAATGGAGCTGTGGCTCAAGTAGTAGAGTGCCAGCCTTAATCACTAAAGCTAAGGGACAGTGTCCAGGTACTGAGTTCGAGTCCCAGTAATCACATACACACACACACATTTGATGAGTAGAATACCAATGGCTAGATGCAATTAATATCGCCAGTGGCACCAGTGGCTCACCCCTATAATCCTAGCTACTCAGGAGACTGGGATCTGAGGATCATGGTTCAAAACTAGCCCAGGCAGGAAAGTCCATGAGACTCTTATCTCTAATTAACCAACAAAAGGCCAGAAGTAGAGCTATGGCTCAAGTGGTAGCCTTGAGCACAAAAGCTCAGGGACAGTGGCTAGGTCCTGAGTTCAAGCCCTCGGACTGGCACCATAAAAACAAAACCAGAATCCCTGGGAGTGGCCCAGGCATGAGGTATTTTTAAAAGACCCTGTGGTTGATACCTATCTTCCCAGAAACATCTGTTTCCTCCTCTTGTGATTAAAAAGTAAAGCTATGAGCCACAGCCCTAGCAAAGGTAAAAGTTTGCTTCGGAGCGATTAAGGTGGCTTTGAGAATGATTTCAGTCCTCTGTGGATTTGTGTATTTATTTTTGGTGCTGGAGTTTGAACCCAGGGCTGTGCACATACTGAGAAAGCACTCTGTAACTGAGTTATCCCTCCAGACCCAATATTTTCATACCATCCATTTAGTTAGAGATCCCTGCACATTACTCCTACCCAGAACATGGCATGAGGACTCAGCCATGCCCCTGGCCACTCTCCCTGGGGAACAGCACACTCCTAGAATAATATCTGGCAGGGTCTTGGGCCAGAACTGCAGTGTTCTATTTTGGGAGACTGTGGCTGAATGTTTTCATAGGCAGCCCTAGATCAACACTCTCTTACCTGCCCTGTTCACTCCTTCTCTCCCCTCCCACACTGTAAACTCGGAAAACTCCTGGCCCTGACCCACTTCTCTGAGCATGTAACAGTTTACAGGACCCAGAGCTCCACATGCAGAGATGCTGACAATGCCAACGATGCTTTGATCCTAGCAGCTTTGGTTCTGATGGGATCCCTATTTATTTGACCAATGTAGAGTAACACTGAACATTGGTTTGCTGAACAAAGCTGTCTTTGTTTATAAAGGAGAGCCCTCTGTCAGGAGCTGAAAATGACAGTGTACCTGGGATGTGGCAGTCCGTATAGGACATTCACAGGTACTATAGAACTCTTGAGGTATAAGGTACTATAAGCCTATGATTATGGAAGTAATTATGACGTGGGAAAGTGCATTATTCTGCCTGGGGGGAGGGGAGGGTCACACAGAGGTAAGCAGGGGAGCCTGAACCCAACCCAGGTAATGTTTCGAGAGGCCATTACTCTAAGTCACCAAATCAAACATTCCATAGACAACACAACATTAACCCTGAACTCAATTCCTTCTTGATTCACCTTACACCTCAGGAACAAGAAAAGGTGTTTGCTCTCTTTTTTTGCCATTTGTTTCTGCAGTCCAAACTCAAAGCAAAAATGTTTATTAGCACATACCAGTTGTATAAAATAATGGTACTTATTGTGACATTTTCATATGTGCATAACATACTTGAATATATTTCCTGCTTGCTGTCTACGCCTTCGCTGCCTGTGTTATTTATACACACATCTGTCTCACATACTGAGAACTCTACAGAGGTTGTTGCTCACTCCTATTGCCCTCTCCTACCCTGCCTGCCCCCAGTGTTGTTATGGAAAAACTTCTTTAAAAAACAGAAGATACCCTGCTTAAAAATTCTTATTGCTGGATACCAATGTCTCACGCCTGTAATCCTAGCTACTCAGGAGGCTGAGATCGGAGGATCATAGTTCAAGCCAGCCTGAACAGGAAAGCCCATGAGACTCTTATCTCCAATTAACCACCAGAAAAACTAGAAGTGGAGCTGTGGCTCAAAGTGGTAGAGTGCTAACCTTGATAGCTCTGAGTGAAAAAGCTCAGGGGACAGTGTCCAGACCCTGTGTTCAAGCCCCATGACTGACAAAAAGAAAAAAGCTAGAAGTAGATCTATGGCTCAGGGACAGTCCAGGCCCTGAGTTCAAGCCCCAGCATACACACACACACACACACACACACACACACACACACACACACACACACACACACACACACACACACACACACACACACACCTATTAACTTATAACATCAGAGATGCATATACTTAAATTCATCTTATATTCAGAATATATTGGTTTTCTTTTCTATTGATAGTGCTTTTTCTTGGCTTTAAATCTTAACTTTACAGCCTCTTGAGTGCTTTCTAGAATTTAAAAGTCAGACCCTACTTCATCCAATAGCTAAATGAGAGAACCGGTCAGAAGAAGGTCCATTTTTAGCATGCTTCACTTGCATACTTTAAAGAAGTGCTCTAGAGTTTATCACTGAATAAGAGAAATGATAAAGTCTGATTTTTATATTAACTGTTTAGTTTGGAGAAAAAAGATAAGCAGAATGATTATCCAAATTGCTTAGTGATGTTAAGAAATTTCTCATCTTTGTCAGATTACATTCTTAAAACAAATATATTTTAAAATATATTTTAAACCTGGCTTCATGCCAGGTTTCCAAGCAAACACACCCAAATAGATTAATTAATATATCAGAGCCTACTTGACACTGCTTATGATGTCACATGAATAATTTCGATTCAGTGAATGTGTCCACAGGAAGAGGCCTGGCAAAAACATGACATTTCTGAACAAAGGAATCCTGAGACCTAGGGCAAGTCCCCAACCAGCAATGTTAGTAAAGCCAAGCCCTAGCCTGGCCAGGCCAGGCCAATGAGCATCAGGGCAAGAGATCTGTGGTTTCCTCATATAAGGGATCTGTTCTTCTCTTATTTGGATATAGTACAAGGGGCTTATTGAAAGTGTAGTGTATTTCTACTAGAAAAAAAAAAAAATCTCAGGCCAAATGAATAAATGTAAAGCTACTGTCCATCATACATTTACATTCTTGAGAGCGCCTCAAAATGCAACTGCTGCTTAAAACATGCCTTATTTCCTCATGTAAAATATTTTTATTTTGACTTATAATGTAGATCTTTGTTCAAGGCCCAAGTCTGGATCAAAAGATTTTCCCCTGATATTAAATAGGTCCCCCTAAGATTTTGCAGATGCAAACTGTTTACATACTAAGCATCTTCTCAACCAAAATGGCCCCAATTGACAGCACCTACAACCAGGGTTAGGCAAAACAACCATACACTCTTACATAGACAACGACATCATATAACAATATAAAACTTGCAAGTAATTTGTACAAACTCTAGCAACTGATCAATTGTTTGAACATGTAGAACATGAAATCCCTAATCAAATCCACATGTCAACCATAAAGCTAATAAAAAAGACTCCTGTTATTACCTTATGCATATATGTTACTTCACTACACATCTGCATTCCCAGACCTCTATTCAGTCATAAGCAGCCACATTCATCTAAAAAAGAAAAATAAATGTAAGTCATTTCAGCTCTCCACTTTGATATAACACAATGTTGATGGTATAACTTCCACAGAAGACCTAATTTGGTGATCTAACTTGATGCCTATGAGCTGGTGACCTTGAGCAGGTTTTTAACCTCTTTAGTTTTTTTGTTTGTTTACTTGTTTGTTTTGCCAGTCCTGGGGCTTGAATTCAGGGCCTGGACACTGTCTCTGAGCTTCTTTTGCTCAAGGCTAGCACTCTACCACTTGAGCCACAGCGCCACTTCCAGCTTTTTCTGCTTATGTGGTACTGAAGAATTGAATGCAGGGCTTTATGCATGCTAGGCAAGCACTCTACCGCTAAGCCACATTCCCAGCTTTAGTTTTTAACCTCTTAAAAAGCACCCAGCAACATATGTAACAGTATTAACCTCATAATTTACTTGAGAAAATACTAGCTGGACTTCTCTTTGGGAATCTTCTAGATTCTGAAAAAAAAATCGAATTTGCAACACATGTTTCTCTATCTACTATTCCTGGGAAGTATAAGTAGTCCTAAACTTTGACACATCTGGTAATTTTCCCCTGACTCTGGCTCGACTCTAATTTCATGTGTATCTGTCATAAACCTAATGAAATGTCATCTTGTATCAATCCAGAGGTAGGGCGCTCGCCTTGAGCTGAAGAGCTCAACAACAGCGCCCAGGCCCAGAGTTCAAGCCCACAACCAAAAACAACAACAACCATAATGATAATTTTAATCTGTTTTTTGTGTTTCTGTGGTACCAAAGAATTGAACTTAGGGCGTCATGCATGCTACTGAGCCACATTCCTTTCCCCTATCCTTTCCTTTTCACATAATGGAAAAGTTAGTTCAGACAAGGTGTGTCCACATGACTCTGTTTGAGACAACAGAATATAAACAGAAAAGATGGGTTCAATCCAGAATGGAAGGAGAGGAACCTGCCTGTCACTCTTCTGCCACTTCTTAGATGAGGTGTAGTTTTAGTATTAACACCTTTAACCACACCAAGGAAGACATACATTAACACATAGCACATGTCTACACATAAGGAAGCCGAGCTCTCAGAAGAGTCTCCATACTGTGACCATGACAAGAGGGAAAGAAATAATATCCTTTCGGGCTGGGAAGGTGGCTCTGTGGTAGAGCGCTTGCCTTGCATGCCTGAGGCCCTGGGTTCGATTCCTCAGCACCACATAAGCAAAAAGACAAAAAAAAGCCGGAAGTGGCGCTGTGGCTCAAGTGTTAGAGTGCTAGCCTTGAGCTGAAGAGCTGAGGGACAGCGCCCAGGCCCAGAGTTCAGGCCCCATGACCGGACCCAAAAAAAAGAAATAATATCCTTTCTAGTTTATGTCACTACTGTGTACATGGGCGCACGTGGGAAAGCTGAGGTGCAGTGTCCCTCTGGAAGCTTGTGAACTCACACCTAAGGCCTCAGTCATTGGCCAGGCCTGGGGCCGCTTATCTGTCCAGTCACAATGGAGCCGCTGATTTGCTCAAGGGCAACAAGAGGGAATGATATGAGGTCAAACATACATAGAGCATAGTTTCTTTTTGCCCATGGTGGGGCTTCAGCTCAGGGCCTGGGCACTGTCCCTGAGCCTCTTTGTGCTCAAGGCTAGAGCTCTACCACTTGAGCCACAGCACTTCCAACTTTTTCTAAGTAGTTTATTAGAGTTAAGAGTCTCACGAACTTTCCTGCCCATGCTGCCTGCCTTCAAACTGCAGTCCTCAGATCTCAGCCTCTTGAGTACTAGGATTACAGGCGTGAGCCACTGGTGCATTTACTGGTGCACTTGACGCATTTACTCAAAATTTTTAAATTAAATTTGAGGAATGTTCTGTGGAAACCAATAAGAACAGAGATTCATGTAAAATCTGCATGCTTTTAAAAGCTGAAAGTAATAGATACTAAAGTAAGATTTGTTTCTTCAGGGAAAATACTTCCAGTTCTACTTCCAGGTTCTCCCCAAAAAGCAGAGAATCTTTTCTACCTCGAGGAAGGCAGTGATGGAAATCATGAGAGCATGTACTGAAGAAAGAATGTTTGACAGAGAGCCAAGGGTCTAGGACCCATTCTACTTCTGACTGTAACACTTATCGGACAAGTCCCAACGCCCTTGTGCTGGAGGACGCAGACGATTGGGGTTTGGAAGATGCAGATGATCAGGGTTTGGAGGATGCAGATAATTGGGGTTTGGAGGATGATGCCACACTAGCAGCGGTATTCCTATAGCAATGCACACAAGCAGAAGTCACACAAAAAGGCTGCTCAAGACACAAAACACAAGTCTCCCCACTCAGGACACACACAACTTTCCTAACAGCGTTTCCATGTTCCACCATGCCATGCTTGAATGTTTGTCTCTCCAGAACTCCAGTGAGCTTTAGCTGTTACTTAAACAGTATAAAGAGGTGGTAGTAAGGTTTGAAGTCAGGGCTTGTGTTTTTCCCCCTGGGCTGACAGGATTATAGACATGAGCCACCATGCCTGCCAAGAGATGGAACTTTTTGAAGAGATGTTTATGATATGAAGGCTTCACCTCAGGAATCCATTGATGTGTGTTCCCCTCCCCACCCCACCCTCTCTGCCCCTGCCACTTTTCCTTGGTCTTCTTCCATGTGATGACACAGCAAGGGGGCTCCTACCAGAAGCCAGTGCCTTGCTACAAGACGTCCCAGCTAATAAACTTCTATTCACTCATTGCCTTGATTGTAGTACACTGTTACAGTGGCACAAAATGGACTAAGACAGACAAAGGAATGACTATAGATCATCCATAGTTAAACAATGACTCTAACCTGAAAGAGAGATACAAATAGGAATACACAATGATAGGAATGGATGATCACACAAAAACCAAAGGCAGGAATGGGGTTGAAGCTCAGAGCTCAGTGGTAGAGACCCTTGCCTACCATGCACAAGGTCCAGGGCTCAATTCCCAGTACCACAAGAGAAAACAAAATAAAACACAGAATATCACCAAAAATAAGGGGAACAAAAGCAATATTTTATTTTGAGACCTCTAAACAATATTTCTGAGCTTTAGCAGCTAATGTTGTATTCATAAAAGAAACATACCAGGGAAAGCCTAGAAATGAAAAATAAGATAATAAAAAAAACCAACATGATGGTCACATTATAATGCTGCTGAAATTTATTTTAAAGTAATAAAAAATAAAGGAAAAAAACAGAAATATGAATTTCAGATCCATTATTTTTTAGGTTCATAAAAAGTAAAGGGAAAATGTAGAAGAGGGCAAAAAGTTTCCCAGAATATAGGACTTGATATTTTTTAAAGGCAGATTAAAGTGTCCACTACAATGAAATCATGAAGTTTCAGAAAATTAGTGAGAGAAAGAGAATCCTAAAAGTGACAGAAAGAGGATCCTAAAAAGATTCAAAAATAATATATCATGTTTCATATTGTATTGTATTTCTGGTGATTTGAAATTAGTATTTGCATACTTTTATTCTTTGTGAGTAAATTATATAAAATAAAAAGAGAGACTCCCAAAAGCTTCTGGGGTTACAGAGGATAAAACTGCACCAAAAACAAGCAAATCAGCATTATACTTTGTAATAATAATACTGAATGCACAGAAGATGAGTTTTTTTTTTAAATCGGTAGTGGGGCTTGAACTCCGGGTCTGTTTCTGTGCTCTTCAGCTCAAGGTGAGCTCTCTACCACTTGAGCCACAGCACCACTTCTGGTTTTCTGGAGGTTTGTTGGAGATAAGAGTCTCCTGGATGTTCTTGCCCAGGCTGGCTTTGAAACACAATACTCAGATCTCAACCTCCTGAGTAGCTCGAATTACAGGCGTGAGCCACTGGCGGCTAGCTAGAAGATGACTTAAAAAAAAAAAAAAAAACCCTGTAATTTTTAGTGGAAGCAGTTTTCAATCTGAAGTTCCATAACCAGTCAAATTAAATTTGAGAGTTGGAACAGCATATTCCAGTCATTGAAGCACAGATAACTTGTATTCACTCCTTCCTTTTAAAAAGCATTGAAGGATACAAAGGAAATTTCCCACTGAATGCTTAACAGATATTTCAAAATTAAGCAGTCACTCAAAGAGAATAATTCCTTTTACTCCCTTATTCTCACAATCAGTAAATACGAAATGCATCCTTGGATGTATTTGATTCAGAATCTTGTAGTCAATGTTGACTTCCTTCTCTCATGTAAAAAAAAAAAAAAAAAAAAACCACTTTAAAAGAGATCCAGAATCCAAGCACTTCATACCACCATGCCCCAGACAGCTCTCACTTATCACAGTAGCCTCCTAACTAGACCCCATGCTTCCATTTTGCTCCCACAATTGATCCTTGTCTCTGTCCAAGTATGTCTTTGAGCTGGGCTCTAATGGCTCATGTCTGTAAACCTAGCTAATCAGGAGCCTGAGATTTGAGGAGCACAGTTCAAAGCCAGCCTGGGCAGGAAAGTCCATGAGACTCTTATCTCCAATTAACAACCAAAAAAAAAAAAAAGAAGAAGAAGAAGAAGCCAGAGTGGAGCTGCGACTCAAGTGGTAGAGTGCTAGCCTTGAGCAAAAATGCTCAGGTCTTCAAGCCCTAGGACAGGCACATACACACACAAAAAAGTGTGTCTCTGGTGGCAGTTAGGGAAAAATACTATTTTCCTAAATGACAAAACATTATTTGCCTCTTTAATCCATTTTCTGGTAAACACAGAATATTCGGTAGTGACTGAACTGCCTGCCAGATATTAAAGAAATCTGCACAACTTCTGCAGCTTCTCACTCAACTTGTTTTGAAAAATGTACTCATTTTCATAAAAAAAGTTCTTTGCACTAACATATAATAACTTTATTTTTTATCCCACCCCAAAATAGCCTTATTATTACTATTTTTAAATAAATATTCATCTGTTTTAATTCTTTTTAATTTTTTTATTGTAAAAATATTGTACAGAGCAGTTACTATTACACGGGCAAGATAATGAGTACATTTCTTATCAAGCATTGTA